CTTTTGTGGCTTTTTGGATTTCTTATATATAAGAGTCAACTATTAAGTTTTCAAGGACGATTTTTATGAGATTAGTGTCAGATTAAAGATGCCGCAAGAAAAGTGGACAATATTAATAAATAAAATGTATCTATTAATCGTTATAAAGATAAATATTTATTCCAATAATGTCCAATCCCAACATGACCCATAGGTCTGCCAGTTATAGTTACAAATAAAAATTTACTTTTTCGTTTTAATCACTATTATTTTTATTGAATGGATCAACTGCATAATTATTGTTATTCGTAGTTATAGTTAGTTCCCTTGGATGAATCACAATGGATAGTGTTTTGCTTAGATAAGCCATTATCAACTTGAATGCCAAGTGAAAGAAATATTAGGTGGTTTTCAGTATGTTTGGTATAATAGCTCACCCTGGTGTTATTTAATGTTCACCAATAATTAAATTAGTGCACGCTCATGGTATTAAAAAACATTTTGTTTTAACAACTCTAGAGTAGCCACAAGTCATGATAACACAAACCATTATATATTGTTTGCCATTCAATGTTTGGAACAAATAAAAAAAGGCTGCAAATTATTCCACAATGGTTTATTATTTCCAGACAATTATACATCTAAAGTAACATTACCTTCATAGTTACAAAGAAATATTATTGGACTAAACTTTTTTTTTTATCATTGGTAATATGCTAAAAAAAATAGCATTACATCAGTAACACATTCCAAATTTAAAAACCAAACAAAGGATATAACATTTGGAGTAGAACATATTTAAAAAAAACCGGAGACCATATCTTTGCTCCTAATTGCCCGTATTTACCGATTTTTTGTTTGTGGTTTTTAGGAAATTTCGTAAACTTTTAAAAAACCATTACATTATCGACAAAAAAGTGTTAACTTTTTGAGTTATTCGGAATTTAATTTTACCATCCCTCGTAATTTTTTTCCAGCTTCTTTTCGTTGAAGTATGTCATATAGATAAATTTAAAGGGCGTCAAGAAAATGACTTTAGCGAAGTTTCATTGAAATCGGTAATTTGTTTAGGAGCTACAGTCTATAGCAACGCAGGTTTTTCGGCCGCCATTTTGAAAGTAAAAGGCAGATGGTAATGTGGATGAAGGAGGATCATCCTCGGTAGTTTCGGTAGTAGTTTCGGAGAAAATGCGCGGACGGCGGACGGAAAAAAATTTTTTTATTCGTTTTTCGAATTCTATGCATCCTGAAAACTGAAACCTCAAATTTTGAGAGGGGGTTCAGTTTTTGAATTTTTTGGTCGATCACAATGGGTAATTATTGAAAATGATAAACCAAAATGATCACCTCAATCATGTATCTTAGCCACAACCATAGAATAACACAAGACTTCTTTCCCAGAGTTTTTCTTAGACATTTGATCTAGCACATAATAGAAAAGCACAGACAAGTGACCTCTGAAACTGTAATTTAAAATATACACCATATTTAAAACCTTTCATTTGTCAAATTAAAAGTAATTACCAATGTTGGAAAATGTTAAAATAAATATCATTATTTATTCTTGCCATTTTTATTTTTGAATGAACCCCCCCCAACTATCCTTCTCTTCATTATTCACTACAGTCAACCATCAACCCACAATTATAATAGTAATCGATTGGTATGGATGGTTAACTTCCTCAGGCTTTTCTTAAGAGAAGCTTTTTTTTCACACTTTCTTTCCGTTTCAACCTTTGTCTTCCTCTGGATCTCTTGCATTATTTATAATGGCGATATTTGAATTTGTACAGATGGCCACGTTGAAACTTCTCTCAATCTTGATTCCTGATCCTGTATCCTGACCTCAATCCTGATTAATGTATGTAACTACCTCACTCTGATGTCTTCTTGCTAATAGAAAACCAAAGTAATAGGATGAGCACTATCAGTCCTGCCTCTCAGGAGAATGGTCTGTTTCTTAACACCTGCCATTTCCAGCTTCTTTCTCTCACACAGTTTTCAAACCTCATTTCTTAGCATTTGTTTCAACATCTCTCTCAAGTGTTCACCCCCTCGCTGTCCTTTTCGCTGTAGACTCTGTCATTTTACATTGGCGTGCTCGAAATTAGTTAATTTCTATAGATCAATGTTGGAAATAGATCAATCTATGGATACTTCTCTCGCAATATATTCTAGAGATACAACAAAAATCTTTATAGATATTTTGTCTTATGTTTAGTTATTTCCATATATTTCATGCATTTGGCAGTAAACACTTTACTTTCCTGTTAAAAACTTTGATCTCTTTTGGTTCTATTGTGTTATCTATAATAGTCAGATTAGTGAAAATACCAACTGAGCTTTTCTTATCTAACTTTTCTCAATACTATCAGCTCCAACACAATACTTCCTAGTCTATCATTCCTAAAGTCTACTCCTAATTATTAATTAATATTTTCTTGCTTCTGCTATTCATATTTTGGTTTAATATTTTCAATAATGAACCATTGTAATCGTCCAAAAAATTATTAAAAAAAAATTCCTCTCTCAAAATTTGAGGTTTTTCGTTTCACGATACGTAAAATTCGAAAATCGAATAAACACTTTTGTCCGTCAGCCGTCCATCGTACGACGTCCGCTGTCCGCGGCTTTCCTCCGAGACTACTGAACCGATTTTTTTTTCAAATTTGGAATCAAAGTCAAAGGTCACCCGAGGATGATCCCCCTTCCCTTCAAAGATGGCGGCCGAAAAACTTGTATTGGTGTAGATTTAAGCGAATAAATGAATGTATCAAATTTCAATGGAACATGGTGTAAGTCTTCTCCTCGATGCCCTTTAAATTTATTTATATAACGTACTTCAACGAAAAGACGCTGGAAAAAAAGTTACGAGATGGTTTTATTTTATTTGAGTTTTTATTTCTTTGTTCCAGTAATGGACTATTAGATCCTTGGTCCAGCGGAGGAGTTCTCAAGAATTTGTCTTCGTCTGCAGTGGCCGTTGTCATACCTGAGTCTGCCCACCACCTGGACTTGAGGTTCACAAATGAAGCTGATCCTGAGTCAGTCCATAGTGCTCGCAAATTTTATAAAAATACTTTTGTGGCATGGATAAAGGAGCACAATGAACAGAGAACACATTGATATTATATATTTAACTTTTCCAAATAAAGTTATTTTGTCTTTTTATTTTATTTTGATATCCTCTAATATTAACTATAGATAAATTAGTCATTAGAATTAGTGTTGCCCAAATGCGAGACCGAGGCGAGTCTTTGGTCATGGTCTTGGTCTTGCGCAAGAGTCTCGCAACAGTCTTGCAGTTACTTAATAGCTTATTACTATAGAGATATTACTATAATTTTTTAGATAGGAGAAACCTAACTAAGCCCGAATGAAAAATTAGAGGAGTTAAATGCAAAAGTATATTGATTTTACCAATTATTAACATATAGTAACTAAAATTATCGAGTATTAGTAACTATTTTGCCTTAATTTTTATTTAAAAAATCGATTTTTTTTACCAGTCCTGGTCTTGGTCTTGCAACAGTTAAGCGGCCTTGGTCTTGGTCTTGCAAAGTGCAAGACCAAGACCGATTTTGGGCAACACTAATTAGAATATGTTTTGGATACCAACTTTTTGTTTGGCCAAAGTATTTATACCAACAAAGTTTTGCTAACACACTTAGTATATCATAAACGTTTTCTTGAGCTGACCAGAAGTATTTGGCATGGCTTCCATTCATTTTTCAATAGGCTTCATTGGATAAATTTGTTATATGTTTTTATAAATATAGTTAAATAAATTGCATATTAAGTAACTAACATAGTTTAAATGAAAGATTGCTATAAGTATCGATAAACAGAAGTTGATGTGAATGAAACTGAAGAACTTTCAATTATTTTTTTGAAATGTTTAAGCAATTATTTTTTAAGCATAGGTGATTTGAGTAAAAAAAAAAAAAAAAAAAAAAAACGCTGCAAATTATTTCACAATGGTTTTATTATTTCCAAACAATTATACATGTAAAGTAACATTACCTCCCTAGTGACAAAGAAAAAGAAATAAAAGATGATTCTAATTATTGGACTTAAAATTTTCTTTTCAATCATTAGTAATTTGCTTAAAAAAATTAGCATTACTTTAGTAACACATTCAAAAACCAAAAAGCAAAACTAAGAATATAACCTTTGCAGTAGAACATAGAAAAAAAAATCTAGAGACCATATCTTTGCTCCTAATTGTCCGACTTTAACGAGTTTTTAAAAAAAAAATTTGTATATTCCTTAAAATTTTAAATAACCATACGGCGTACGGCGGACATAGACAAAACTTTTTATTCGTTTTCCGAATTTTACGTATCCTGAATCGTAAAACCTCAACTTTTGAGAGGGGGTTAAATTTTTGATTTTTTTGTTTGATTACAACTGTTCATTATTGAAAATAATAAACCAAAAATATTTCAAAATCGCGATATCTTTACTAATATTGCTTTGATTTCGATGAAATTTTCTTCATTTTTTAGGAAATTTAAATACCTTTGAAAAATTTTATCACTATATGGACAAAAAAGTGCATACTTTTTGAGTTATTCGGAATCTAATTTTATCACCCCTCGTAACTTTTTTACAACTTCTTTTCATTCAAGTGTGTGGTATAGATAAATTTAAAGAGCATCGGGAAGAAGACCATCGAAGTTTCATTGAAAACTGTACCTTCATTTAGGCCCTACTGTATATAGCAACAACGGTATTTCGGTCGACATCTTGAAAGGAAAAGGCGGATAGAAATGTCGATGAATGAGGATCATCCTCGTGTGATTTATAATTATAGATCCAAATATGAAAAAAATCGGTCCAGTAGTTGCAGAGAAAATGCGCAGACGGCGGACGGCCAAAAAATCTTTTATTGGTTTTTCGAATTCTACGTATCCTGAAACGCAAACCTCAAATTTTGAGTGGGGTTAAGTTTTTGAATTTTTTGTTCAAATTTTGTTTAAAACGATTCATTATTGAAAATAAACCAAAAAAACATTTATGTTTATATGAAAGATAAGTCATCGACAGATTACAATAAGAATGGAAAGATATGGATATCTCAAATAAGATAAAATTTTAAAACATTCACTTTTATAATAGGCTGAAGGTCATATTGATAATAGTCGCTCTTACGGGCTCAGTCGTAATCGAGTAGATGAACCATGTACTCGTATCTCTTCTTTATTTTGTATCTACTGAAGTTCGTAAGTGCAGACACCAATGAGATAGTTTATCAAACCAAATACTTCGATGCACCTGTAAGTAAAACAACATTATTAATTTACTTCATAATATAAAGATTTCGTTTACGGAAAAAGATATATCTGAATGTAATTTTTTTTTCAGCTTGACCATTTCAACTTCAGGGTAACAGACACTTTCAAACTCCGCTATTTGATAAACGATACATATTGGAGGCCACACGATGGAGCTCCGATATTTTTCTACACCGGAAACGAAGGAGACATCCACATGTTTGCCAATAATACGGTAAGCGCTTCCTAAACGTTAATTTATGTTTGTGTCTATTTAGGTTATTTTGTTAAGGTTCTTATTCAATTCATATATATATATATATATATATATATATATATATATATATATATATATATATATATATAATATAATATTATAAACTAAGTATTGTTTTAAAATCAAATTTCGATTTTTGTCCATTAACCATGAACTGTGGACCGTCTTGAAATACACAACTGTACCTTAGACTATGATTCACATATTTTTACACCCACGAACCACTTGTACTAAACCTGTACCAGCGAACATCATTAGCACCTGCTAACTTTATTATGCAATGTTTTTGTTCAACGAGATTTTTTATAAAACGTTTACTTTATTTTTTAAATATCTAATAAATAATTATTAGGAAATATTATTTGATTCGTTGAAAATAGTCATTTTTTGATCATTTTAACAATACGTCACAGTCAACCTCCATCGCTGTATTTATTCTTTTGCAAGAACAAAAACTAAATGACAGTGTTTGTATTATTGCATTCAATGTGTCTTTTATAAATAATGAAATTTAATATAGGTTTACCTTATAATTGAATTATAATTATATCAAATTAATCAATAAAATTGTATATAAAAAAGAAATCTATATCACTCATTCAACTCGTGCACTCAAAATGTCAACAACATTCTATAAAAACATTAAAATCAGGAGAGAATATTGACAAAGATATATATGCATATACGGACGGATCTATGAAGGATAGGGCATTTCGGTCTGAAGCTCCTCCCCAAAATAGTAAAATATAACCATGTCTTATGAAAAAAAAAAAAACCTTTAAAAGTATTATTGTTCGTGTAATTACATTTAATAGTACATAAAGAATCATTTAAACTCTATTTCTTACAGGTAGTTAGTTTCTTTCTTTTTCTTCCTTAGTAATCACCGTTATATATTTAAAAAAAAATCATTCGGGCTGAAGCCCCCCCAAAATTTATATATATATATATATATATATATATATATAAACTTTTTCAAGGACAAGGATCTTTTTCGAATAATTCATTTGTGATATATTTCAAATTAAAATTATAAGGAAATGTTACCATTAGGAGGCATTACGTCACTGTGAAACCACGGCCTTGTCAAAAAATATTTGTTATCAACTTTAGTTATATATTCGTTTAGTTGAGGATATTCTTCGATAAAGGAATAAATGAACTTGGTTTGGGCGACATAATCCTAGAAATAAGTGGAAATGAGTAGCTTGGTGTGTCCAATCTTAGTTAATTAAGGATCTCCAATCCAGCTCATTATGGAACATTCCTTTGATGGATTTTATATGTTTTGGAGGCAGCCAAGCATGATTGTATTCTTAAAGAACTTGTTAAAGTTTATGTAATCAGAATCCATTAAATAAAATTACGATTAATTCATAAAACTGCTACAATTATATATTATTTCTTTAATCGATCATGAGTTATACTAATATTTGTCGGAGGTTGGGTGTTTTGGAAAGAACCCGTTAATAGTTGACATACGAAACAGATCAAGAACTAAAATTCCTGAAGAAATGGAATAAAATAGTGAAGAGAACATTGATTGATCAAATTTGATACCAAAATCACCATAGGATTATAGACATTGATTACTTAGAAATAAAAGGGTGGGATGGCCGAGAACGTTAGGGCGTGATTCCGAACGTTGTGGGTTCGAATCCCACCTGGGTCGATTAATTTTCATTTCTCGGTCTCCTTGGGAAATGGACTATGATTGAATGTTTAACAAGAACATACAATACTATAAGAAATAATTGTTTTCTAAGGAAATCTTTCATTACCTGAAACAGTGGTGGTCTTCTGTTACATTCTGTTTCATGATGCGTGCTACTTTATCTTTCACATCTTCAATGGAATCCAATCTTGCTCCTTTTAATGCAGATTGACAAATTTTTACATATAATCCTTGAAAGCATTACGAATCCTGGATGAGCCCTCCACCGGTACGCCTCTTGAAGGAATTGACAGAAGACTTCCAGTACTGCTTAAGACAATGGAAGATTCACATAAAGCATTGTATGGAGAGACGAATTTGAATTGAAGGTAATAAAAATTAAATATGTATGAAATCAAAATAAAATGTTTTACAGAGTCTGTCTGGTTCTTTAACAGTGTCACCTAGTAAGTAATGATCAAATATACATTATTGTACACAGATACCTTCTGTACACGTTTGCATATATTATTATAAATATAAACAAAATAAATGTAAATTAAATTTTAATATATATATATATATATATATATATATATATATATATATATATATATATATATATAATTTCTTTCAGGGCTTCGTTTGGGAGACAGCCCCACAGTTCCACGCTTTGATAGTATTCGCTGAACATAGATACTATGGGGAGTCGATGCCATTCGGCAACTTATCTTTTACAGTGAGTCGATTTATATATTCAAGTACACAATCATAAGTAACAAAATATTTATCAATAATCTTAATATTATTATTTTTAACATAGGACCCAAAATATTCAGGCTACCTCTCTTCCCAGCAAGCACTCGCTGACTTCGTCTCCCTGATCAAGTACCTGAAAGATTCTTACAAGGTTCCATTCAACCGAAATCCAGTGATAGCTTTCGGAGGCTCCTATGGAGGGATGTTGTCGGCATGGATGAGAATGAAATATCCTTCTGTCATCCAAGGGTAAATATCTTAAGTCAATTTGGAATGACTCGTTTAAAATTTAAACTTATATAATATTTTTTTATAATACGACTTACGAACTTAAGGTAACGAGTTTACACTAATAAGAGAGTTGAAGTTTTCTTCAGAATCTCAGAATTAATACATAAAATGAAGAAAAGATAACAAAATAATATATATATTTTTGAAGGAAAATTTAATGTTCAACATTTTCCTCCACATGAGTTTTTCATTGAAGGACGAAGTAACGAGACGGATAACCAAACGAAGAGAAAAACACTAGGTCCATTTTTCTTTTTATAACAGTTATTACTGAGCACAGACATCACGGAAAGAATGTAAGACAACGAAAAAATGAATATTATGTTTTTATCGATATGACGCGTGATTTCTCTGTTTTAAGCCAGAACGGAAAACAATGACCTACGGGGTGCCCCCTTTGGCTCACCGCCAAGGAGTGGGAACTTTTAGTTTGCTTACCTCCTTACTGGGCCAAATAAATTCCTAAATTCAATGTGTTCCTTTAATTCCCCTCTATAATCATTCTTTAATTGAACTCCTAGTAATTTCCGAATTGTTATACTTACGTCACAACAGGTGGAGCCAGGTGGTTTCATGGCGCAAGTTATGCCATCAAAACTTTTGAAATGGGCATATTTTGACTAGTTTTTGAATTTTTGAGAGAGGCACATTTTACAGAGTTATGAATTTTTGGGATGAAAAATTTCATACTAAGAGACAATGAGAAAAAATCTGGTGTGTCCACTCACACGGATTTCCTAGCTATTTCAGAAAAGTTTTTATATCGTTAAATATGTTCATGAACAAACAAAAAAGAATTGAGCTAAATTTATTTTCCTGAAAATTGATCAAACAAATGATTTGAGTACAATTTATTTGATAAACTAAAGCAATGAAACCGACTTAAGGTAGATCAGTGTAAAAATTTCAATACCCACTATTATTGCTGATCAAAAACTTTTTGCCATAGCTTAGTATTGTCAAACAATAATTTCTGTTAAAAGTAGAGAAGATTGTATGATGTAGGCAGATTTTCTTACTTTCACTTAGTCATCTTTATTCTCTCATTCAACACTTTCTGACACCAGGAAATGAACTCGTAATCTTTCATTGGAATAGCTGTAACTTCGTTAATAGTTGTCCAAAATGAACGATTTTTATATGGAATTGTAGCGAATTTGACGGTGCTTTTTCAGGGGGCTTTTGAAATACCTTTCAAAGTTTTATTATAAATTTTACCGTATAATATATACTTAGAGAGTTAGGCCCCATAACATTTTTCTTTTCTTTATAACTTTTTTTCCTGAATTTTTTCGGGAATTTAGTCTATATACGAAAATTGAAAGGACAATGACTAAAACTTCATAGAAAAGTTTCATCAAAATCGTTAGAGCCATTTTCGCGCTACATTCTTTAGAAAAACATGTTTTTCATTTATTGCGCGCAAGCTATTGCGCATGGAGCAACGAATTTCTGTCACAGGCATCAGTAGTCAAAATCCTACAAAATAAAAAAAGAAGCTAAAAAATCGGTTCAGGAATTCCAGAGAAAATCTTGGCACAGACAGACAGACCAATGGCTAAAAATGTGTTTTTCGGACTCAAGAGGCTGTGAAACGTACAGATCCGTCGAAAACCGCATGTCGGAAATTTGGCCCGATTGCAATACTTTCCTTAACTAGTATAGGTAGGAAAGTAAAAATGAAACACACATTTGATCTACGGTTTTTATAATATTACCTTCGCTTGCTCTGTTTTTATGAACATATGAGCAATAAAATATCTTGGGAGAGGGAGAAGGAGGGTGGGGGGAGGGGATAAGTTCTTGTGTCATTGACCTTGAGAGGGGGGGGATGGGGACCCCTGGGTGGAGTAGTTTGGATTCATGAGTGAAATGACCCGGTTTAGAAATTAAAGAAAAATCACCTATACAAACTAATTCTAAAAACACAAAATATAGCTTTATACAGAATTGATGTGATCCTCTGAGTTGGTCCGATTCAAACGTCAGAGTAATAAATATAATTACAAAATTTAAGTATCTTTTTCAAAACAACTTAGTTTGAAATTGAGGATAAATTACAATAAGTAGCTTAGTTTTCGCCATATCTCATTGTTTTCGTGATATCTGCTCTCTTAAGGGTTGTACACACAGAGAATGCGATATCTTGTCTCTGTCAACATAGATTTGGAGATAAAATTGTCATACTTTCTACTATCATAGTCACACCGAGTGCAATCTCTGGAGTAACACAGACAAAGAAATCGCAAATCGCCGGAACGATCGCGTTCTCTTTAGATGAGTCTTTAGCTCTCTAATTTTGAAAATGATTTTTTTCTTCATTGACTTGGTAACTCTTTGCCCGTTTATCTTACAAAAAAGTCAAAATTGAAAGGCATATAACATTAAATTTTCTTCTTTGACCGTTCATAAGCTTGAGAAATTTTAACTTAATAAGTGAAAATTTCTGAATTTGATAAAACACTGTATCAAGATAAAATATGGACAGAATGTGCAGTAAAATACATTATGTTCATTGCTTTGGCCAGCGTTTCGACCCAAACGTGTGGGTCATCGTCTGGGCTAAAAATTAAAAAAGCTTTCGTATACCCGTAATCACATTTCAACATTTACTTCTTTCATACCTTTACATTTATCATTTTTCTGACTTTATCTTATATTTTTCAATTTTTGGCTCTAATGATAATCCATATGTTCAAAACATTTCATTTTATGTATGGACGATTTCAAAAGGAAGAGTGACTAAGTCCATGTTTTGTCTTTTCTTAAGGTGGCCACGTTCTCTCTTTCATAGGGAGCAACAACACGAAAGTTCTTTAATTCAGATGATTAAAAATTCCTTCAAATAAAAGTAATGATTGTCTTTGTCAAAGCCATCTAAAGGGAACAATTGAGTGGCCAAACTACAAAAAGTTGTGTTTTTTATTAAATCTTGGGTGTTTTCTTACCATGTTTTCTTACCATCCTACAGCTATCCCATTTTTATAAAAACTTCCTTATTTAATAAGCTTTAGTTGTATATCAATTTATTTGAGGTTTGTTACAGTTGAGATTCACCTCCATTTTTGTAAAAAAATATATAATTTTATATTATGTCACTCCAGAGTATCTTTATTTCAGCAAAAATGAAAACTGAGAAATTATTGCAATAAATTCTTCTTTTTTCTATGACCTTACATCTAATTTAGTAAATTAATGATGAAAATTTCCCTTTTATTTATTAAATTTGAAAAAAATACAGCTGTTTCAAAAATTTATTATCTAAGGTGATAATGTACCATTGTTTATAACAGATATATCTACTGAGGATATTGATCCTTATGATATTACATGGCTAACTAAATATTTGTAATTCTAATATTTACGATTGCATGAAAAAAAATCTAGTGTTCAATTTTATTATTTTTTGAAATGTTAATATCCAATAATATCTCAATATAACCTTCAAATAAATTGATATACAACTAAAGCTTATTAGACAAGGACGTTTTTATAAAAATAGAATAGCTGTAGGATGAAAGAAAACATCGCGAATAATCCATGATTTAATGAAAGACACAACATTGTGTAGTTTGGCCACTCAATTGTCCCCTTTAAATGGCTTTGACAAGGACAAACTTTACTTTTGTTTGAAAGAAATTTCATTTATTTTACTATGAAGTAATTTTTAGTTACCTGAATTAAAGAACTTTCGTGTTATTGCTCACTATGAAAGAGAGAACGTGGCCACCTTAAGAAAAGACAAAATTGGACTTAGCCACTCTTCCTTTTGAAATCGGTCCATACATCAAATGAAATTTATTGTTGAAAATATTGTTCAGAATCATTTTCCAGAGTTCGGCCTATAAGAACTGAGAAACTAGCATACCCATCTCCAAAAATAATATATATTCTAAAAGGTGTGTTTGATGTCCCACAACTTTCTGAAAGTTAGAAAAGTAGTCAAATATGGCTAAAAACATTTGACATTTTTTTTTTAATCGAAATAAGGGAATTATGAGAACGGATATTATTACAGAAACTATTCAAATCAATACAAATAAAAATAATCTATTTAGCAGAACAATTTGTGAATAACATACTTTTTGCTAATATATAATTTTTGTGATCAAAAATAAGTGAAGTGGTTTAACGATTTGCAGACATCAATGACTTTAGAAGTAGCATTTTTATCTATAAAGGCAGTTTAATTCATATACCGAATTAATCTATAACTATGTGGGTTGACTACAAGACTATGATATCAAGATCGTGAATATAGGTCTTCTGGCAAGAGTTTGATAACAAAAATTTAACTGCAAGAGGGATTTATCCTCAGAACTATGAATATTGACATAACTAGGGGGGACAATGAACCACAATAAGATTGATAATGAATGAATAGAGGATATGAAGGAAGTCTGAGTGATAGAAATGGAAGTTATTAGCAACTGATATTGATATCCTTTAATATTGATAAAGGTCTATGAGAAAGGGGCCTTCTAGCGAAACTTATGATTGTTTCTTAATTCATGATAGGAGTCTATTGTGTCCATAGGCTATCAGGGATATATTTTATAAACATATATACAAGGTGGTCCATGAGTAGGAGGAAATATTTATAAGGCTAATAGTAGATACCAAGATATACAAAAAAGTTTATGTAAACAATTGCCCAATTTTCAGCAGAAAAGTGGAAAATTTAAGATTTGTTTTTTATCAAGTGAGTCACATTTTTTGTTGAATAGGGAGCGCTAACTTAATTTATTACGATTTATTTGATAAAAATTAATATTCGCTAGACAATCTCCCCTTCCTCGGGCCTTTTATGCAATTCGAGAATTTTCCCAGGCCAGGAGCGAAGGCGGGCGATTAACGCCTGAGTTAAACACTCTCCCTCCTCCCGAATGTGAACTCATAATTATTTTATCATATTCTCTTTAGTTAATTAGGTTGGCGGACAACGCTAGTTTTGCACTAGCGTCAGTCAGCTAGACCATTCCGCTATCATTTATTTATCATCTAATTAACATCAACTTTGTATTTGTATTTTTTTTCCGTAGCGCACTTGCATCCTCAGCCCCAATTTGGCAGTTCACAGGCATGGTACCTTGTGATGCTTTCAACAGGGTAACTTCCTCTGCTTACACAACTGAATCGGTACAATGTGCTGTATCGATTAAAAAGTCATGGGGGTACTTTGATCAGCTTGGATCATCAGGTAACATGATTTAATAAAACATCCAACATCTGCTACTTACTTTTGAAACATTTTTTTTTCAAAGCTGAAAAGTATAACAAGATATATTTATATGCTAATTTAATTATTTATTTGTCATAAGATTGAGACTCTTCATTTGCTGGTTGAATATAAGGAGGTATAATATAATATTGTAGTAATATAATATAAGGAATGGAACAAAGAGGGCCATGACCACAAGAAAATATTCCTGCTGATCAGGATACTTTTACTCCGTGGCATTAAAGATTGATGCGATCCTTGGCCTCCTCAATAAGTATTCGCCAGGTCAATCTATCCCAGGTAGTCTTTCGCCAGTTTCGAGTGCCCAGCAGCTCCTCGGCGTCCATTGCTCCTCCATCTTCCCTTCTTAGTTGATGCCTGCCTCTTCTTCTGGCCACATACAGTCTCTCATTCAGCAACTTCCTTAGGATCTTTTTTATTGGCATTCTTGCAAAGTGTCCAGCGTCAATAAATCCGCCTTTCTGTAGATCCCATAAACCTCTGCTTTCGTTCTTCTTATTCAATAGTCACCCTCCTTAACTGCTCCAAATATGCGGTGAAGGATTTTCCTTTCAAAAATAAGAATGCCCTTTTCCTCTGAACTTGTGAGAGCCCACGATTTCGAGCCGTTTTCCGTTGTCCAAATTTTATGGCGGTATGTATTTTTACAGGATGGGGTTGCAAAACCCATGCTTAACTCTCCTCCTTTCTCTACCTGGACTTGGGACAGGCTACGGCGGAGTTCAGAACAACTTTTTTAAAAATTTAATTTCTTTCCAGTTGAGGGTGTCCGTTTTTAAAAATAATTAATCTTAATTATTTAAGACCTGTTTTAATAATTAGTCTTTCGTTCTAACTGTTGAAATACTAATAATAGTAAAACGTTGCTGTATATCAATTTTTCTGACATTTGTCTTTTTTTTCTGTGTTACTGTTTTATTTTTTATTTTTTTTTACGTTGAAGGAGGGACAGCTACTCCCACTAGCTGTCCTCCAGGCCACTCCCACTTAGCTCTTCCCTAGGCAACATTTTATTTCTTGACTGCACTCCTAATTACACCTACAGTCATTAATATATTTACCATTAATAAAAACTCGAATATTAACGTTAAAATTAAATTTCTAGATGATGGACTGAAATGGTTGACTGATACATTTAAACTGTGCAGTCCTCTTAAAGATGTAAAGGAACTGAAGGACTGGCTCAATGAAGTTTTTGTCAACTTAGCTATGACCAACTATCCTTATCCAACTGATTTTCTTGCCACACTACCAGCCAACCCAGTGAAGGTAAATTATTATTATAATGAGATATTAAGAAGAATTTTTAGATTTAAGTTTGATTGATGGATTATATAATTAAAAATAAGGGCATTGTTGACGGTGCAATAATTGCAAAAATATAACAATTTCCATCGAATATAACAACCTCATTGTTCAATAGTTAAAATATTTCTTCTTTTATTGACACCTATGAGATCTTAAGAGCTGCATCTCAGTTTACTCTGCCTGCTGATCAATGTCTTAGTCTTCTCATCTCTGGGATGGTATATCCTCTTGCTCTCCCAGATTTCCCAATATACTCAGAAAATTCATACAACAGGGTATTTCATGTGGACATTTTTCTTCTGGCCTGACTGCCAAGTACCACCTGGCCTTTATTTAAGTTTCTATTCTACAGACATACCCTTATTATTTTTCAGTTGTCACTCTTCTAAGTGATCACAAACTTGTTAGACACCCAAATACTCATTCTTTCATTTCTGATGTAATCCCTCTTGGTCTTATGATTTGTAGAAATCTCAGTTGAGGGTTGAACAGCTTTCCGATTTATGAAGCAGCAATGCAAGATCACAGATTTTACCATATGTAATATTATATATACAATTTTACCATCTTTGTTATATTGCCGATTATTCCTATATACTAATACATATTGAAACACTCTAGGGATTAATGATTTCATATAATTCAAATTATCTTACTCCCAATTTGTTGTACCAACATGCATTGCTTTGTATGTAGTTGAATTTATCTGCAACCCTTTTAACTTCAATTCTTCATATCATTCGACTAAAGATTGCTGAATAGACTCCTGAGAGTGTACTATTAGAGCTGTCATCTGCAGATATGTACTTTTAAAGATCACTTGTAGAAAATTGACCTTCAAAAGTGCAAACTGTTACAAAGGATAGGTCATCTTCATGTGTTTGTGAATTATTAACAATCAATTTCATTTTCTATTAAATTGTTATAGTAAAATATTATGGTTTCAGGCCGCCTGCAAGCATCTGATGAATTCTAATGTTAAACGTGAACAGTTATTGAACAATCTATTTAGTGCTATTTCTATTTATTTCAATGGGACTGGATCAGCGCATTGTTTGGATTTGAACAAATCAGCTGATGATGGCCTCGGAACATTAGGATGGGACTTCCAAGTAAGATTATTTTCATTATACACTCAATAACTATTTCTTGCTCAACACACCGTTTTCCTCTAAACGTTACTTCATTCAAATGTATTTTTCATTTTTTAAATTAATCATTTTTCAAACTTGATCTTACTTTTATTATTTATTTCAATCCTCTCTGTATTACATCAATGTTTCATGGTTTTTATCTCATCCTTAAAATCATCTAACAAATATTATACATTTATACATAATAATATACACGACATAACAATATAACAAAATTATTATCCTATATTTTTCCTTCTTCTGGTATATTATATATAGTATTATTTTATATTTCTCATAGTCTTATAAACATATTTTATAAATAAATATTTTGTCATTTTAATTAAAATTCATTTAACGAGGAAAGAAATAATATTACTACTTCCATGTCACATAATCAAATGAGGATTGATGTTTTTAAATAATTTTTCTATTTCTTTTACAGTCGTGCACAGAGATGGTGATGCCCATGTGTGACAGTGGAACAACAGATATGTTTGAAAAAAGTGATTGGAACATAAAAGAGGTTTCAGATGAATGTTTTAAAAAATTCAAAGTGAGGCCAGACCCTGGATTAGCAGAACTGGAATATGGTGGGAAAAATATTCATTGGGCTACAAACATAATATTCAGGTAAATAAGTAATCTTAAAACTGAATTGTATATTTGTATACAAATAATATAATAATAATATTAATCTGAGTCTGTCATATTAACAAAATAAGTCCAGAACACGTGTTACAAGAGATTTTAAAGTGTTGTTCACTTTATATAAATACATTTTTTATTTATTTATTGTTTTCAGTCGGTGCTTTAGACCATTAAGATCTTTGTCCACGAGATGTGGTCTCCTAGACCACTTCCCGATTCCCGATTTAGGTTCACAGGGGTAGGGTCATCAATCCTACATCTGGTTGGTGTGAGTTGCCTCCACTAAGCTGATGGGTCTCACATACCTGGGGGGAGTCTCGGGCTGCGTGGCTTTCTCTGGTGGATGGTCACCCAAATCGGGCGGTCACTCATTCAAGTGCTAACCACGTTCGGCGTTGCTTAACTTTGGTCACCTATTGCAAGCGCCTTGGCTCTCAAGGCTACTCTAGCTCCCATATATGTGTATATATATATATATATATATATATATATATACACATATATATAACGATGATTACTATGGCTATTCCAGTCCCCTATTTATATATATATATATATATATATATATATATATATATATATATATATATTATATATATATATATATATATATATATATATATATATATATATATATATATAAAATTACGAGAATATAATACGCTACCACATATACTTCTACACATATATAATTTCTCTCTCCAAAATTCCATTTTTCCAAGATCCTGGAAAAGAGCCATAGTCCGTCCACTGAACAAATTTCCAACTCCTTCATCAGCTTCCGACTTCAGACCCATCTCCATTCTATCCAATCTATCCATGCCTCTAGAAAGATTAGTTCACTCTCAGTTGAACAGCTTTCTCGAGCAAAACCATCTCCTCAATCCCTTACAATCTGGTTTCCGTTCTCAGTATTCCTCCCAGTCTGCCTTGCTAAAGATCACCCAAGACCTCCAATCCGCCATAGATAAACAGAAAATCTCCATCCTAATTCTCTTTGACTTTTCCAAGGCGTTTGATTCCGTTAATCATGAGATCCTTCTTTCCAAACTCCAAAGCCTGCCCATGTTAAATAGCGTCCTAAAATGGTTCCTATCCTTCTTATCCAATCGATCTCAGACAGTTACAATACCGAATAATCATCAGACAGTTACAATAAACCTCCATCATCATCACTGCAATTAACGCGAGGTGTTCCTCACTCCCCGACCCTTTTCTCCATCTATATTAGTGACCTTCCCGACGCCATTCAACACTCCAATTACCACCTATATGCCGATGATACCCAAATATACCAATCATTCCAACCTACTGAGATGCCTGAGGCTGCTCGGAGGCAACAAGAGGATATCGACTGCATCAACAGATGGGCAAAAATAAATGAATTAAAGCTGAATGCAGATAAAACCAAGGCTATTATCATCGGGTCCAGACATCTCATCAGCTCCCTTCCTTACCTTCCTCTACTTTACCTCAATAACCATCCCATCCATTTTTTCCCTACAATCAAAAACCTAGGAGTAACCTATGACCAGAACCTCTCCTGGGATAATCATATCTCCCAGATTTCCCGACGACAATTCCTTCTGTCATTCTTCAGAACCAAAAACCCTCCCTACATCCTGGAACTCCTTACTCTGCGCTCCTCTATCCACTCTCTCAATACTAGGTCTCAACCTATAGACTTATATATTCCCTCCCATAAAACTTCCTCCTTCAGCAAATCCTTCGTCATTCGTGCTGCTTCCTTATGGAACTCACTTCCTACCTCCATGCGTCAATCCTCATCCACAAATTCCTTCAAACAACTCCTGTTCCAACACCTACTCCACATTCAAACTTTCCCTAACATGTAAAATTACTTGCATCTATACAATGTTTAATTTCAATTCATTGCACAATTGAAATAACAATTAACAATAAATTAGTTGGTATTTTTATTATGTCAGACTAAGATACATAAATTTGTAACTCTGTTATTATTCTTAGGGAACAGTAGTCCCAGAATAAAATTATTTTTTCATTTCATTTCATTTCATTTACCACCAAGCTGCATTCAGAAAAGGGAGTAGCATGCCATGAATTAAAGCTGAATGCAGATAAAACCAAGGCTATTATCATCGGGTCCAGACATCTCATCAGCTCCCTTCCTTACCTTCCTCTACTTTACCTCAATAACCATCCCATCCATTTTTTCCCTACAATCAAAAACCACCAGACCAGACCTTCATCCTAAAACAAGTACTCGAAAAACGATGGGAAGTAGCTTAGGACGTCCATGCCCTACTTGTCGATTTCTAAGCAGCCTATGATTTTGTGGACAGGAGCTGTCTTTGGAAAATCATGACTGAACTGGAAATTTCTGGTAAGTTGGTGAGATTGACAAAGGCGTGTACAAATGACCCTAAAAGTAAAGTCTAATATGAGGAGAAGTGTCTGAAGCCTTTAAAGTTCAAATGGGCTTATGGCAGGGAGATGGACTATCAACGATATTGTTCAACTTGGCCCTGGAGAAGGTAATAAAAGCAACATCACAGAACACTGAAGGGGTCCATGCCGGAATGAATCATAAAATCCTTGGGTACGCAGATGATATAGCTGCACTTGGAAGTAATCAAAAAGACATTGAGAAACTCGCTACAACACTTCTAAGAGAGGCAAAGCAGATTGGCCAACAAGTAAATGAAGACAAAACAAAATATATGATAATAAGCCAAAAATTTCAACCCTATAACAGGATCTGTATAGAAGGAACATCATTCCCGTGAATAGAAAAATTCAAATACCTCGGCTCCACAATAACCTCAATGAATGACCAATGGGCAGAAATAGACCAGCGTATAACTAGCGCAAACAGAGCTTTCTTCTCCCTCTCAAATTCTGAAAAATCTCAAATTAAGGGTGAACAATGCTATGATAAAGCCAGTTCTAATGTATGGCTGTGAGACCTGGACACTAACCAGCACCCTAGAAAAAAGTGGCAAAAGAGCTACATGGTCTGTAATGCCAACAGAAAAAAAAATAATAAAATAAAATATATATATATATATATATATATATATATATATATATTGTAATATACACCTTTATTGGATGTAGGTAAAAATGATTTTATAAATTAACGTTGAACAATTAAAAGACAAGCTAATCTAGTTTTACTAGTGCAGGGAAAAGAAAATGCTACTCTGGAATTTCCCAAGAAGGAAAATCCCAAAGAGGATAGGGACAAAAGTTTTTGTCTAGGCAAGCAGTTGTAGTGTGACAGTAGTGAAGAGAGGATAGGAGAAGTGATCCTGGCTCCAGTGGGAAAAACCTAGTAATAGTGTTAACAATTTGGAAAAGTTGTTTGGCAGAACTTTGGAAAGTGTTTGAAGGCAAATGAGTTCAGTGTCAAAAGGAAGAAACATATAATATAGAAAAAGGTTAGCTTACCAATCCATATTTGACTTTATTTTAAAATCAATCAGTGTTTGATTTTAGTATAAATAGTGTAAATAATTATAGTTTGTCTGAGTTGATCTGATTGTCAGTAACCTACACCTGAGATAAATAAATATATTAATATTCTTATAATTTTGTTTTTTATTTAACAACCTCTTATTTATTTTGGAAGTATCCCAACTTCCGAGGTTATATTATTATTATTTGTAAAATATAAGAGAGATGTTACATTTTTTTTCTTTTTTATATTTGATTTTCTTAATCTTGTTTTAAAATTTCCTGTTTCTTATTAATTTCCCATTGATGGTAATCTAATTTTTTGTTTAAATTAACAAATTAAATATTAAAATTACGAAGCATAGCCATTACTTGTTGAAACATATTATTAATATCAGTACAATTCAAATTGTTGCTACTACTTATATTTATTTTTTCACCCTCCATATTATTTTCACTAAACTCATGAATTTCATTTAATCCCAACAGACTTTTACTGCAACTACTGTTAGAGTTTTCACACTGTTTATTTTCATCAAGTAGGCTTTGTAGAACTGACTCTGCCTTATTTTCTTCAATAACAACATTCCCATTAGATTTCCAAAGAATTATAGTATTAAGATCTCTACCTTCCATTATCTCTCTCTGGTTATTTTCCATATTACTCAAACATTATTAATAAAAAACTATACAACTAAAACAAATTGTTTATTTGAGCGGTGGCCTAATTTTTAAAGAATTAGGCCACGCATAGTTGAGCGCCAAAATGTAACATCTCTTATATTTTATAAATAATAATAATATAACCTCGGAAGTTGGGGTACTTCCAAAATAAATAAGAGGTTGTTAAATAAAAAACAAAATTATAAGAATATTAATATATTTATTTATCTCAGGTGTGGGTTACTGACAATCAGATCAATTCAGACAAACTAAAATTATTTACTCTATTACTATAATTATTTTATCTATTTATACTAAAATTAAATACTGATTGATTTTAAAATAAAGTCAAATATGGATTGGCAAGCTAACCTTTTTCTATATTATATGTTTCTTCCTTTGTGACACTGAACTCATTTGCCTTCAAACACTTTCCAAAGTTCTGCCAAACAATTATTCCAAATTGGTAACACTATTACTAGGTTTTTCCCACTGGAGCAAGGATCACTTCTCCTATCCTCTCTTCACTACTGTCACACAACAACTGCTTGGCAAAACAAAAACCTTTTTCCCTCTCCTCTTTGGGATTTTCCTTCTTGGGAAATTCCAGAGTAGCCATTTTCATTTCCCTGCACTAGTAGAACTAGATTAGCTTGCCTTTTAATTGTTCAACATTAATTTATTAAATCATTTTTACCCACTTCTAATAAAGGTGTATATTACATATATATATATATATATATATATATATATATATATATATAATTGGAAAAAAAAGCTCTTTGACCAAGCCAGTTAATAATCAGACTATTCCAATGATGATTAGGTATTCACTCATACATGTATATAGTTTTAAAAAAAGATATTATTTTGTTTAACTGAACAACACTTTAAAATTTCTTATAGCCAATGTTGTAGACTTACTTCTATTATGATACACTCTATGTTCAATCACGATAATTGATATATACAGTTACCATATTTATTATCGAATACTATTAATAAATTATGCCAGTCTGGCAACAATTCAGTTTAAACGAGATTAGTTTCTGCCAAGGCAGTCATATTGCCAAACAGTTCCCTTGGATCCGTTTGGACATGAAAGTCAAGTCCATTTTCAGTATTTAACAATAGTTGATTTTTGCAAATATACTCTACCTCCTCATCTCTGGTATACATTGAGATTTTGTTCTTGAGGTACAGCTTAATCTATTCTAATAGATTCAGTGTATTAATTTTTTTGGCCTTCAAGGACCACTTAAACATAATTTCATAAATGTAGTACTTGGTTGATTTTTCTTTCTGAATCATTGAGTAGTAAAAAAATTAAAAAAAGTCCTCTCCTCTAAAGAAAAAAAATTAAATAAAATAAAAGCTGGATCTGCTACTGACACTATCATATCATTTACAACATAAAACTAGTCAATAACACAAACATACTCTCCCAGTGATTATCACAGTTATTTGACCATTAAATTAGTTATGAAACCACTGAAAAAATGACCGAAGAACCTCCGAAACTGTAATTTATAACATATATCATATTCAAAAACATTTTTATCAATTTTTTTTTTTTTTTTTTTGTGTGACTTCCTAGCTTTGTTTGTATATAGGAATAAAAATTTTACTGTTGAATCTTTGTCCCCTCTAGATTTCTTGCATTACCTATGATAAATTTGTGAAAATACTGTTTGGGCTTTTTTTATTTGGCATTTCATGAACATATCAGCTACCACACTTCCAAGGAAGCAGAACTTGCCTACCATTTTTCAAACATGTTCCTTTATATTATTAATATTTCCTGGCTTCTGCTATTGATCGTTTTCATTTCCTTTCAGAAGAATACTATTCTAAGACCAAAATTTTGGACCAATCAGCATTGGTCGTCTGAAAGATCCAGATCTTTGAGGATATCCTTGTTATTCCACTGCAATCCTCTCCTCTTTGGAATTTGAACATTTCTCTATTTAAGTTAATCATCAGAAAATCTTAGCCATGATTAAGTCATATGACTTCATGAATGATAACATAAGATTTCCGAATCATTCAATAACATAGATATTAGATATTTATAATATAAATGTTTCTTATTACTTATGAATTTTTTTGTTCTAGTAATGGACTTTTAGATCCTTGGTCCAGTGGAGGAGTCCTCAAGAATATGTCTTCATCTGCTGTAGCAGTTGTCATACCTGAGTCTGCCCACCACCTGGACTTGAGGTTCACTAATGAAGCTGATCCAATATCAGTTCGTAGAGCTCGTAAATTTTATAAAAAGACTTTTTTGGCATGGATAAAACAGCACAATGAACAGAGATTATACTGATAATATATATATCTAACCTTTGTAAATAAATTTAATTTTTATTTTATTATTTTTATAACCTCTAATATACTACCTATTTACCTATTTATTTTTACCTATTTATATTTACCTATCTAATATTTTACCTATTTATAGCTATAGATTAATTAACATTTAGAATGGGTTACAGATACTAAATTTTTCTTTATCATCTAAAGAACTGCAAGTGATAAAAAAAAATAATGAGAAAGGCTATGTATGGTTTCCATCTCTTTCTCCTGCCTCTTAATCATGAAATTTTCAATTACCTCAAGTGATTATCAGTAATATTTTTCCCAGCATCTTTATATCATTTATATATTATATTATCTATTTATTTAAGTTATATAATGTTTGATTCATTCTTTTTCATTACAATAATTTATCTGTTTATTTGTTTTTAACCATTAGCTTCTAAATCAACAATATATAAAATAAAATAAATATATCAGTTCAGATTCAAGTGAAATACAAATACTGAATAGAAAGTTATAAAAAATATGATTGAAAATGTTGATTTCCAGCCTAAGGCATCTCAATTTGAAATCTCTTTCGCTGAAACTCATACTAAGCTCCTTAAGGACGCATTTACCAAAAATTTCCTTCTTTTCCCTTTCCACCAAGGGAATATATTACAAAATTTGGTTTAAAGTAAGGTACCTTTCATCAGATTTTATGAAGAGTAATTGGCAAAGCTAAGTTAAGCGCAGTTGATATATTGGAACTATTTTTCCTTTTCTATTGCTATTTATCATAGATGCTGATATATTAATTGAAATATATTTCATGAAATGACAATAAATAGAGTTATACTAGTAAAAACAATATAAATTTGTCTTTATATATTATAACAAATATGTTATTATAAATACGTCTTTATAGTAGCAAATAGGACAAGCCTATAATAAGATTAGATGTAGGCTTATGAGAGGGTGTACAGGTACCAGCCCTTATCAGCTAAGTTTGCTGCTCAGATAAAGTTTTTGGTCGGTAATCTACTAATAAAGATAAAATGTTGCCTATTTGAAAGAAAAAAGACTCTTCTAAGTTTCTAAAATTAAATGGTAGTCCCCCCAATATTACAAAACCTTGACCAATAGAGATACTCGAAAAAGAAGGCAGTCTGAGGGAGACCTTTGGAAAACAAATCTATTGGGGAAACTTCCTTGGAAATGGTTATCCAGTGGATAAAGGAGTTGTAGATGCCTAGCAAAGACGGGAGAACTAGCTGCTAGGTGGACTAGAAGTCAGTCAAGAAGAGACCTCGAGATGACAGTGGCATCAGAGACCAGAAAGAAGTAGGCGAAGACTCCACTATATTCCCTAAAAACAGCTAAGTCATAATATTTGTTTAGATATTACCTTTGTAAATCTGTGTTGACAATCTATAAAATAATCGAGCAATTAGTTATGTCTGCATTAGTACCCTCTATGCAATATTTTCATCTATATATTTATAGTGTTTCAACCAAAAATATATTTTATTTTAGGCAGAATTTGATTTCTAGCATTTTTTCCCTGGATGCCACCATTTAGATATATAGATACCAATAATAAACTGATAGCAGGATAACCTCCGAAAGGATACATGATATGAAGTACAAATCAATCAAAATTTTATTTCACTTGTATATTGTATATTGTATATCACAGCAGAGGGGTCTAGTAAAAATTCATTAATACTTTAAATATAAATATTGGGTTGTCCAGAAAATAATGCACGATTTTGATTTAAAAAGAAAGAGTTACAACTGTTTAATCAAAATAGTCTCCACTACTTTCAATACATTTCTACTAACGTTTTATCAACTTTTCCATTCCCTAATTTCCTGTGTTTAGAATTAATAAACAACAAAAACGCATTTTATAATTCCCTCCTAAAATTTGTGTCAGGTAAGTAGTGGTCCAGATGTCTAAAATAAAATGATAATTCGTATGCAAGAGATCCATCTGAGGGTAGGATGGATGTGACAGAGTTTCACAGGGGTTTTGATCTCCTCCCTCTTCCCCCCCCCAAGATGGATGGTGCATAAACCTTTTCCCTTCCCTCCCAAGTTATTTTATTGCTTTCTGCTTCTTAAAAACAATGCAAACGAAAGTAGAATTTAAATATTCATAGATTATATACAATTACATATCCTGCGGTCTGTTCATTGCTTCCACATATTTTTACTATCACTTACCTATAAATAATAATAATAAGGCTTAGCGAACCCGAAGGTTCGATGCCGACACCACCAATCGCTTGTTACACACCTCCCTCCACCGTTCGCCGTCCAAACCCAGTCCCTTCAGATCGGCTTTAATGCAATCTTCCCACCTTCGCTTCGGTCTACCCCTCGGACGCTTACCATTCGGCACAGCAAATATTAACCTTTTAGGAATTCTCTCGTTACTAAGCCCAACAACTTTACAAGCCCATTTGATTCGCCGCGATGAAATTACCTCAATTATATTACTCGGATACAGCTCACGCAATTTGGCGTTGTGTAACCGTCTGAACTCTCTGGTTAACTCATCCTTCTTCGGTCCGAATATTCTACGCAATACTTTATTTTCAAAAACCTTAAGACGCTGCTCATCCCTTAATGTAAGCGGCCAAGTTTCGCATCCATAAAGAACTGTAGGCAAGATAATTGTTTTATAGATTCTAATTTTTAAGTTTCGGGACAAGAGGCGCGAACTAAGTAGTTTTGTCACAGAAAAATAACAAGCATTCCCCGCCTTCAGTCTAACCTTAATGTCTTCTTCAATTTCTTTTTTTCTAGTTATCGTAGAACCTAGATACCTAAATTTATCTACCTGTTCAAACATATTACCATCTATATCGATATCACCAGTAGTATCGCCATTTTTGCAGCTAACCATATATTTTGTTTTATCCACGTTTATTTCGAGTCCTAGTTCTTTACCGGCTTTACCGACTTTCGTATTTAGTTTTATAGTTTCAACGTCTTCGCTTAACAGTACCAGATCATCAGCATAGCCCAGCACGGATGTTGTCCCGCCCAGATCCAACCCTTTCTCGGTTCGCATTACCTCCCTAATGGTATGTTCTAATGCCAAATTGAACAGGCCAGGCGAACTTGAACTTTATTGAGTGTCTCCGTCAAGCACATCCTGACTAGATTTACTAGTTTTTTTGGAATCCCCTGCTCAATTAGAATATTATACAGTTTCTGGCGGTCAATAGAATCGTAAGCCTTTTTAAAATCTATATACAGCTGGTGAACAATACCGTTATACTCCAATTTTTTCTCTAATATTTGCCGTAAAGAAAATATTTGATCAATAGTCGAACGATTCCGTCTAAATCCGCATTGGTAGTCTCCGATAATTTCCTCGGCGTATTCCGTGATTCGACTGGTTAAGATTAAAGTAAATATTTTATAACATACCGGAAGGAGTGAAATTCCTCGATAGTTATTACAACCCGTCCTCGGACCCTTTTTGTGAATCGGAATAAGAATAGATTCTTTCCATTCTTCAGGTAATTTCTCGTTCACCCAGATCTTTTTAACCAACCGATGTATTTTAGAAACTCCAGCTTCCCCGCATGCCTTAATTAGTTCAGTAGGAATATTATCGATTCCCGCTGCTTTATATGATTTTAATTTTCCGATAGCTACTTCAACTTCCTCTTTACTTGGTCCTTCTATTAACGGTTCAGCACTCTGTTACTCAGAAGGAGGACACATATCATAATTACCCGTATTTAATATATTATCAAAGTGGTCCTTAAATTTATTCAATATGTCAACCGGATCGGTCAGAATATTGTTATTATCATCCCTAATTCCAGATGTTACGGGCCCTACACATTTACGTGATCTGTTTATACCTTTGTACATGTCTCTTACGTTATTTTCGATTCTATTAGTTTCTATTTCAATTATTTTATTTTTAAGATACTCCCTTTTTTTATTTTTGAGCAATTTTGTCGTTTCGTTCTTTGAGATTCGGAAGTATTCCAGATTGTCTTCGCTAGGATTATTTAGAGCTTTTAATTTAGCGGCTTTTCTTTTTTCACACATGTTTAAGCAATCTTCATCAAACCACGGTTTGTTATTCTTATTTTCCTTTTTTCCTAGACACGAGTTACCGACCGCTTTAATATTATCTCTGATCCCTATCCATAACTTGTCAATATCCTCGTGGTCCTCGTCAGGAAGATCTAAAGCTTCAAACCTATTCTTAATATCTAGCTCGAATTGGTTTCTAATTGATGGATTTTTTAATTTTTCCAAATTAAAATTCTCAAAATCGAAACGGTTTTCTTTTCTCTTTTTATATTAAGTTTTTGTCGAAGTTTCGCGATTACTAATTCATGATCCGACCCACATTCTGCTCCGCGATAAGACCGTACATTAATTTTACTGCTTTGCCAGCTGTGTTGTATCAAGACATGATCGATTTGATTTCGTGTTTGCGAATCCGGTGATGTCCAAGTATATTTATGAATATCCTTATGTTTAAACGTCGTACTTTTAATTATCAGGTTTTTCGAGATGGCAAAGTTTATCAGACGGATCCCATTATCATTACTATATTCGTGCAAATTTTCTTTACCAATCGTCGGAATATAAACTTCTTCCCTTCCTACCTTTGCGTTCGCGCACCTACAATTATTTTCATGTAGTTTCGTGGTAGTTTATCATAAACCCATTCGAGTTTATCGTAAAATTCACTTTTGACTTCATCGTCACTGTCTTCGGTCGGACAATGTATGTTTATTAATGCGATTTTAAACCAACGTCCCTGAAATGTAGCTACCGAAATTCTATCACTAAAGAATTGTACGTCCCTCAAAGCGGATAGTAATCTACTCCTAATTAGAAACCCGGTAACTAAACAATGATTCCCGCTTCCTCCGTACCAAATAGTGTACTTTCCTTCCTTCATCGAGCCCTCCCCTGGCCAGCGAACCTTTTGCAGAGCCACGACATCCAAATTGTACCCATTTACCTCATTCGCTACCGATTTTAGCCCCCCTGCTGTGTTTAAACTCCTTACGTTCCACGTACAAATATTTAAATCCCTATATTTCATCTTGCGCCATGAATCCCCTAAAGCAGTCCCCACCCGGAGACCCGAACGGGGGACTAGTTTACCTCCGGATAATGAGCGTTTTACCTTAGGGAGATCCATGACTTTTTGTGGTGTTTGGTGAACTAATGAAATGTGAGTAGGGCGTTCAATCCTACGTCACACCCTCCAGCAAGTCGGGTGGGCCCCAACCTCCAGCAAGTCTGGA